TAATATACAAAGTTAAGTGGTTAACGAGAAAATGACTGGATAATATAAGCGACGAACGCTGTTGACCTATGGGTTTGTGAAGGTCGGGGCTAGTATTTCTAGTGTTTGATTTTGATATCAATACTACATATATCATTTTGTAGCTCGTGAAATTCTCTATCGAGTGGGTATACGGTAGGTGATATTTGCTTTGAGCAAAGGAGAAGAAACGGGGAAGATACTCTAAATAGGGTTCATCTAAGGGGAGAAAAGTTTGGATACGAAATTTTTACCAGAGTTGAAAATGGTTTTTTAAAGTGGTAGTTTTAATCGCGGAGAAAAACTACATCAGACCTGTGAATATGAGATTGATCTGAGAGGCGACCGATTTTGCCTCTTATCGACCCCCATCCTTTATAACGTTATAATGTGTTAGATATTATAGCGGTATAATACAGTAACATGTAACGCGTTACAAGTTAATGCGTTGTAATGCGACAGGAATTAGGGAACGCCCTGTAACGGCGTACAAATTACTAACGCGCTAGTCGGATTTATAGCGGTGTAGCATTATAAAATATGAGAAAGTCGTTGATAAAAATGCATTATAACACTAAAATTTCAATTTTTGAGCAGTTTTTTTCACGTAATGCGTTACTCTAATGCGCTACAATGCATTAAAGACATGTTTTTTCTAAGTTTATCGCGTTATAACACAATAGAAGAGCTAACACAGTACAAGGCATTGCAAGATGCCTAACGCATTATAATGCAATAAATACGAAAAAAAGATCCTGTGGGTCATCAGTTGATTTTAATAACGCCTTAAAATATTTACATCAATAGTTTCTACATTTGTTCTTCCAAAAATATTTCATTAGCATCTCCTCTGAAGATATTAAACCTTTGGAGTGGGTACTTGTTTACTATGCAAATTTCCACGGGTACTTGAAAAGCACTTGACAAGTATTTTCAAAAAATACTACTTGATAAATGCCTGAAAGCACTTGCCAGGTACTTGATTTGCTTGTTAAACCTTCCACAGCTACTTGGGGGGTTACCTGGGCAAGTGCGTGGCAAATGACTTGACAAGAAGATGAAGTAATTCAAGTACTTGATTTTCTTGGAAAGTACTTGGTTTATTTGCAAAAAAGCGCAAGAACGTTGAACGCTTTTTTATGGTCCCGTCTGTTAACGAAACCTCTGTAATGTGAACACTTCTGCTGTCGTTCGTTAGTTCGAACGCTAAAACACACCTTTTTTTCAAAGAAGATTGGCTGTTTTGTAGGGGCGCATAGACACTTTTCTTGCTCGGTGACTGTATCACATGTTGTGTTTGTTTATCCGGACTATTCATCCCTCAGTCTAGTGATCAAAAGATGCTAGCACCCAAAGTAGCTCACTTCTAAAGTTTTAAAGCGAAGAAAAGTTTTTAGGAAAGTTTGAGTTTTTCTTCAAAATTGCATACGTTAAATAATGAAGCACTAAATAAGGAGTCGTAGTTCAGAGTTACTCTTCAGGAGATTTACTACTCACTTCTAGAATTTTTTCACAGTTTTCGAGAAGACTTTCTAGAATATCATTTTTATATTTTAAAGCTTCTTCTAAAACGAAAAGCCAGCAACAATAAACAAAATGAAACAAAAAAATTAAAATAAAGCATCTGTAAAAACATCTGAGTTCCAGAAATTAAGCTTTATAGTTAATCTGAACTGTGTGCAAGTGAATAAAGAATATTTGAATCATCGACGTCAGTGTCATCAGACAGATCTCAGTAATCTGTAGCATCTGTTAAAGGGACGCTGATTGTTCCAATTGTTGTGGATAGTATCAATCTATAACACGTGAACCCGCAGGACACTTACAATACCAGCCAAGTACCTTTTTTTTTATCATATTTAAAGGTACTTTTTTTACCCTCTTAGAAACTAGGGAAGCCGATGTCGGATCGGGTTCTAATTTATACCAGAGACAGACCATCGAAACAGCAAATCGAAGTATTTTTGCCCAGAATTTTCTGACGTGTTCTTCTATGGGATTTCTGGAAAACTCCAGTTTTCATTGGCACACATTACGACCCCTCGAAAAAAGCGTCTGATCGAGCTCAAAATTTTACCACAGATACTTCAGATTCTATCTCAGGTTCGTTATTTTTCTTTTCGAAAAATATTCTTGTCTTCTCGAAATATCCGAAAAATATATCCCATATAAAAGACCGATTTTTCATTTTGTAAACTTTCTCACGCCGAAAGTTGAAGTCGAAAACGCTTTGAAGGAAAAACTTAAAAACTTCATAATTTTTTCAAGGAAGGTCATGGAGAGCTGGAAGTGGTCTCATTTTATAGTCCACACTTTCCTCTACATTAGACTATGTTCAGCTCAAAATGACAACTTTTCTGCAAAAAAGAGGGGATGGGGGGGTACCCTCAATCCATATATCATAACTAGTAGGATTTTTATGTCTGGATTGCATCTGCGCTCGTATTAAAGCTTTTCGTTATTTACAAATTTTTTGCAACAAAAGTACCATTCTTAGACAGATGTTCACAAGTATAATTACGTGCTTGCTTTATTTGGTATGTGCCAAGTGTTAGATCATTCAACTGACTTAATGTCAACTTAAGAAAATCATTTAGAATATCATTGGCATCAATATGATTCCATTTCAATTGCTTTACTGTTTTATCTTTTAGTTTTTCGACATACTCTTGTAATTTATCTGTTTCTTCAACTAGAACCGTAATGTTATCTCCGAGAACTTTATCTTTTGTTACATCAGCCACAAATAAGGGCCTATATGCATTAATTAATGCACATACTATGGCAACAAAATCGCTTACCTTTTTTAAAATTGCATTTGGTACTACTCTACCAAATATTTTCCACGTCTTGATCCTGCCATTTGCACTTTCAACGACCCAACGTATTTTCATTGTGAGTCGTGTTTTGTTCGCCTCGGCAATAGTAAATTGCTTTTGACCATGTGGTAAAAAATGTGGCATTTTAGTAACAAAATCGAAATTTTGAAGGTGTTCTAGTGCGTCGCGAAATTCGCGGTCGACCATTAAAACATCTCCTGGTTTTAACCAATTAAGCATATTTTCTTGATTATTATAAATAATATGTTTTGTAATTTCAGCATCGTTACACTTATAGTCTGCAAAGTACGGCCCCATCATCAAAACAATATACCCGTCTGTATCGACGATTATTACAGGTTTGATGAGAGGCTTTCCTTTATGCAGACTATAAGTACGTCTTTAAAATACATGATGTGCACTCTTTTGTATGTATATATATATATATACCGTCCATAATCACTATAGCAATATCATCTTCATTTTCCGCTAGTAACTGTCTGTCTAGTGTGATTCTTAATTAACTGTTCCCGTGTTATATGTCCAAAGCCTAAATGTTTTGGCATGAAATATTTAACCACGGCAGAACGAGCACTATCAATTATACGGTTCACAACCTGTTTTCTTTCAAATCCAAACAAAGTCGACAAAACTTAATTCGATAAGCCTGACCTTAGCCTTGTTAGAAGACAAACAATAACTGTACATGCACTTCGAAGACCAGATTGGCGAAGTGAATACGGTAGAATTTCAGAACATAAATGATTGGATTGTTCTTTAGTTATCAGATCAATCAAATTATCAGATGTCAATTTATTAGAACCATCAAAATTAAGAGGAGGATTTTCATTGATTTTGTCGATTGTCTAATCTTTCGATCGAAGTTGTTTTTTTATCGAATCGAATACTTCGACTAACTCAGTTCGACTTATAAAACATGAATTATCCTTTCTTTGTTTCATCATTTTGATAGCAGATATTTTAAGTGAACCGTATGCTAAATGATACAGCATCTACTACCTTCAGAAATAAATATACGATGAGTTGTTAAAACTTCGAACTATAAAATTAATTGTCGAAGACGCTACATTATTTTTGTTATATTCAAGATAAAGTACTAAGAAGTATTTGTGTATTAATTACTCGAGTGATTTGTATTCAAAATAATAATTTATGTGGTGATTTCCCAACATATTTATTAGGCTTTTGATTTTGCTATTTTTACAACTTTTGTATTTTTTTACTTATATTTTCTACTCAAAGAAAAACACTAACATATAGAATAAAGTTTTATTTCAGGTATTTTAATGGCATTTTCTTCATATCTGCACATTCACTTTTGATTTATATTGATTTTTGTTCAAACACTAAGGTTATTTTTAGCGCTTGAAATGTATCTGAAAAGTTTTACATGTTAATCTTAAACGGGTTCCCTGACAAGTATTCACCATTTACCATTACCATTTTTAGTAGGTCAATATGTTTCGATCGATCCGTCTAAGAAATAAAGTTCTCAGGTACGTTGAATACAAGATGCAAATGATTCAACTGATTAACCAGCGACGATATGGTCGCTTACTGTAGTGGATTTATTCCTTCTTCTTTTATTCTCATATCTACTAGAAACTGATGAGTGAGATACCGTAAGTTCTAATAACTTCAATAAAATAGGGATTACTCAAAGATTTTTTCTCAGTTTCTCTACAATAGTAGAACTCGCCAAGTTCTACAACATCGTCATATAGACTTTTTTTTCTCTGAATCTTCTGTAGGACAATAGTTCTTCAGATGCAATAGCACGATTGTAAGCTTTTGATCATTTACTGAATGTATTTCGATTAAAACAGTAAAATTACCTATGGAATCGTCAAGTTTTACTCTTATAAAAAATACTTATCATATCGAGCTTGAAAATTGACAATCTTTAAAAAATAGTTTGTAAACATCTAGTTGTTCTCTGAAAATAGTTAAAGCTATCGAAATTATGGTTCCTAGGTTACTACACGTATTCATTTAGTTTGATTTCATCTGAAATACGATTTCTATTCTAATTTTGACTTTATGAGAGTGAAAATAAAAAACAAAAAAACAACACAACATTTAAAAAAGGAACACGAATACACCATGTGAATCCTGCGATTACTTTTTTACCGAAAATGATTCACAATCACTACAACAAATATTGGCATCGTTACAATGTCGATATGAAGACGTCATTTCGGATGTATTATAAATAAAATTGTGATTATATATGGCGTACTGACCAAGAATATGATTATAATGAGAAAACGAACATTTCTCTCGAAGAAATTAAAAAGATGAAACTGATGAATACGTTAATTATCAAATTTTGTACAGATAAATCACGACATTAGAAGCGACAATAAATGATGTACAATATCATTCCGGATTTAAAATTACAACAATATGTTTTGAAAAGGTAGCATGTGTTATTAGAGATGAAAATAATGAACATTACTTATTTATAGCAAAACATGTTATAGAATGTTCTTAATATGGCTAATATACGTTTAGCAAATAATTTAGTGACATCCACAGATGTTGAATTATTAGATCATTCTTCTGTTATATTAATCGCCTGAGATGTATGCACTATTAAAATTTGTGTTAATTAAACATGTCGAATTACCATTGAAAATTTTGTTTTTTATCTAACCATAGATTTGAATGAGATTACGAATAATGACACATATAAGTTCGGATACGTACAATCTAATTACTTTGCACTCATTAGAAATCACAGTTGTACTAGAAAAAGCAAAAACATTGTACTCTTTCATCTTCGCACCTCCAGAAAACCATGAAGAGGAAAAAGAATACAAGTTTCATATTGGCTTTTGTAGACCTCCGTAATTAATTCTAGAAAAAATGTTGTGTACTTTTCATTTTAGACTTACTACAAATCAGGCATTTTGAAAACCTATGCTTTAAAATTACGGGAACCGTCCTCGAGTGACACTATTCAGACTATTCAGTTTATGGTTACGAAATTCGAACAAGTATTTCTTTAGTTTTTTTATTTGATATAAAAATAAGATCTATTTTAACACATTTTGACGATGTAAACTGCTACTGTTGTCTCTTGGACTATTCTGCAGCCAGTGCATGCTATTTGTACTAAGATAAGTCATACAAAAAATGTTCAGTGAGAAATGAGATTCACACGGTAAAAAATAAAGTATGTTACGAGGTGTATAAATCTTCTAAATGTTCAACAACATCAAAAAATGTGTAACTTCTCTAGATGGTTATTCTCAGTGTGTAAAGAGCTAGATGAGTTAAAAAGATTTCTTATTTTTCATTTTTCTCGTGAACTACTGCATCAAATGAAAAAATAATTTCAGAATTATGATCACCATTTCAAAAGTATATATGCTGTCATTTCCAGCAAAATCGCATAAGGAAAAAAAAGTGAAAAAAACACTGCCATATGGTAGATTTAAACAATCGATTGATGAATTTGAGGCATTTCCAGCACAGATAGTTTAGACAAGTAGACTATATCATTAATCTCAGTGTGTAGAGCCAGACGATCAGTTCTCCGTATGTACTTTGCACATGTGCATTTAGATGGTCACTGGAAATTTTGTGCTCACATTATGTGGACCATTTACACACTTTATTTTTTACAGTACATTGTGTAAATGTTTTCATTAAAATCAAAATTTGGAATGAAACAATTGAAAACATAAACTATTCGTTTAATCAAACATTTATGATAAGTGATGATCAGTTTAGTAAATAATCATTCAAATTTTAATGATATTGAGACGTTAGAGAAATTTTTTTGCCGTTGTAGATAAAACGACTTTGAGTCATCGAGATCTTTTAGTTAGTTATTTTGTGAGCAAAACAACAATAGAACAAAGCGTTACACTATGTTGTGAATAGTTTCGCATGGTGTATATAGATGTTGTACTGCATTACGCAAGTCTATGGTGCTTAGATGTGCGTCGGGAGTACTTCAGAACGATGCATGTTTATAGAATCTTAAATAATTTATATTCGTTCTTTCATTAAGAATGCATATTTAGATATAGAAATGAGATCATAATATTCATATTTTATCTATACATTTTACATGATGTATGTGGACGTTAGGGATGCTGTAATACACACACACGCATCTCTATTTCGCAGCCCAAATATTTTAAAAACAGTTGCTGGTTTTTGTTTGTAAAAAAATAGATTGTTTGTCAAATAGTAAACACAGAACGCCTGTTAAAAAATTCCTACTTCCGTGCTCGCCATTTTACGTTGTAAAAAAAAGAGAACTTCTGTCATTTTCTCATCTCCCCATTTTTCCTTGATACTTTTGTCTTTTCTACTGAAACATACTAGCAGCATAAAAGCCATACTTAAAAAAAAGCAAAAAGAAGAGAATATGACAAATACACGCCGTCATTTAAATGACACTGAAAAAAAGAAGAAAGGCAAAACCTCTAAAAAAATGTGTTCTGTCGTCGCCACTGCTTTTTCTCAAAACATGATGATGAGGATAAAAAAAGGCATCGTTGACGCCTTTGTGCCACCATCACCAAGAAAAGGAATTTATTATTAGATTCTAACATTTTTTTGTCATTGTTGTTGTTATTATTATTATGTCTGTGTGTGTATATGATTATGAAATGATTATTCTGTATTTATTATAGTATAAAATAAAAGAAAAAAAAGGAAGAAATTATGCCGAGAAAACGAAATTCAACTAAAAAATTGACAAAAGGTAAAATCCTTGCTAGTATGAAAAAACATTAAAAAAAAAGAGAATAATTGATGTGGTAAAAAAACCTTTAAACAACACACATTTTCTTTATATAAATAGGCAATTCTATTGTGTACTTTTCGACTCTTAGGTAAACCAATAACATTTTATAAACAACATCCGGTTGATGCATGTCAAATAATTGGTAGTGACGAAGAAGACAATAACAGCTTATTATCAGATTTGGGAGATCAAACAACACTAATAATAGAAGACGAAGATTTTTTTTGTCCGTTAATTACTGAAAGTCATTCACAATACGCTGTTCATACAGTAAATGTAACGAAAAATAATTTTTTAAATTCAATTCCACAATCGTCAGTTGCTGAAAATAATCCTAATTTAAAAATGATTAATGATAGAAAAAGAACACATTCAGTTGAGATTAATAACGTAAATGACGTACCTACAAAACATTCAGGTAATGGACATTAGATAATAAATAGAAGTTACAATTATTAAAATATTTTGCTATGGCTTTAAGTTTTTTTGTGCCCGGTACGGATACAAAAAATTTTTTTACACTTTTGTGTCCGGAGATAGATATGTGCTCGGATTTGATTGATTTCCCCGATTTTAATTAGATTTGGAATAATAATGAGAAAGATCTCAGCTTTATATCATCATTTATTTACTGAGGTAATGGCAGAAATAAAAAGGACAGAAAGAATATATAAGTAGAGCAGCTAAACACCAAACAACGCATTTCCTGCTTTTCTTGGTCTTTCGCGGCGGTTGTGGAAATTTGCACAAATCTGCCTTACTTGTGAGCACAAAAAAATCTTCCTCCTTTTGCTATTGAGAAAAATTGTGGTTGAAAGAAATATATGATTCTTTTTTGACGGATTATTATCATCTCATTTATCGTGTTTAAATTTTTCTTTTGATTCCTTATTACAATGTTACACGTAAGTCATTTCGCTATTTTTTAAACTGGGAGTTGAAAAAGAATGTTATTTTATGAAAAAGAAAGTGCATAGTTGATATTTGATATTATTGTCTGTGGACTTTTGAATCATTGACGGAAATAAAAGTAAAGAGGTTTGTCTGTAAATGATCCTGTTCAAAATTTTTAATGTTTCTCTATCACAGCTATCTTTTGTAACTGTATATTTTCTTTTTTTAGTTACTGAATCCAAAATATTATGTGATTGTTGTAAATTGATTCGTTCTGGCCGTAATTTACCAATAGCTCGTCGAGGACGGCCGTTCTATTCGTCCACGAACGATCGTGATCGATTTATGTGTGGAAAATGTAATCAAACTTTAATACAACAACAACAACAACTCAAATCTTCATTTTCAAATTCACCAAAAATTTTAACGGAAAATAGTCTATCAATGGACTCAACGGATTCGTCAACTAAAAATATTTTCGATGAAATTCTCGGAGGCGACTATGCTTCTTTATTGTCTACTAATGATACCGCTGCCATCGTTGATACTAATAATTTACAACAGCAACCACAACAAGATATAACTAAATTATATGATCACATTGATACTCAAAAAGAATCAACAACAACGACTGAGCGGGATTTACCAACAGAAATTGAATTTACTCTAAATGAGACACCAAAACTGGATATGAACGATTATCAGCCGGCTCAAATGTTAATTTGGAAATTGAATGCTTCAGGTGATGTTGATTTAAGTTATGATACTAGTTCATCCCCGTTGACAGATGATGAAAAAAAAGCGTTAGTTGATGAAGCTGTTAGAAAATTAAATGTTGCATTATCATCACACAAAACTCCTGTAGGTGATTCCAATGTTGATGCCATTGAATTAACGTATGCGGCATTGAATAAAACAATGCAAACATTATCAACAAGTACATTATAAAAGTCAACTATTTTCAATTATGAATGAGTTTGGTTTTTGCCAGCTGTGATTTACAAACTATTTGTGAATACTTTAAGCATTTTTTTTAACACATGCTATTATAACAAAATTTGAGTTTTCCAATGATCGGTGTTTTATTCAGTTCTTTTTATGATTTCTTTTTCAAAATTTAGTCTGATATTCCAGTCTTTATTCTTTTCACATATTTATTTTTATTGTTGTTATATCACTATGACAAGTACTTAGACTATCACGATCATCTCCTATGCAAAATTTTGTTTATGAGTCGTTGCTGCCTACACGGTAAACAAAAGTGTGTTACTAGGTGTGCAAAATGGCCTAAAGGTTCATTCGTCATCAAAAAGTGTGTACTTTTTCTAGACAGTCAATGTCGGTGTGTAGAAAGCGCAGTGTGTTAAAAACTTTTATTATTTTTCATTTTTCTCATAAACTACCGCATCAAATCGTAATCACTCTCTTCGAAAGTGTATACACTGTTGTTTTTAGCCAACACACAGCGGTTTTTTTTCTTTTTTTTTCTTTCTGTGTCAGACCTCAGTATAGTAGATTTCTAATTTTTTTGGAAGCTCCAAATGTGATGAAGTTTTTACCAAACATGCATCTACTAACGATATATCGATGCTGTTAGTCCAAAATAATCTAAATGCTCCTGTGCTGAGTTATAGGTTTTCCAAAACCGAGTTTTCTCTGCTTACTAACAGCAATAACATACTAAAAACCAATAACATATTCGGAATCAGAGCAAAAAACTGCGTCGAATGGCATATAACTTACCCATTCTAGGTCGCATACTTTTAAATTCGATTGATTTCTGAGGCTGAAGCCTGCGTAACTCAAATATTTTGCTTGGATTATGAAAATTCTAATTAAAAAGTAGATCAAAGCATTTAAATACTTTTTTTATAGGTTTTCGACGATTTCCAGTGGTCTAATTTTTAAGTTTTGAAAAGGTTTTCTAGGTGATTTTCTGGAGACAGGATCTCTGAGAAACCGCCTAGAAAGCTGTTGCAAAACTCAAAACCCATTGTACTGGAAAGACCATCGTGGAAAACCTATAGAAAAAGTGTTTAGACACTTTTACACCACTTCTAAAGCTCATGTCCACGTAGCCAGAATTGCCCACTGTGCAACACGGATAAGAAAAAAAAGCATCGTCACATATGAGATTCGAACAACCGATTAAGGGTACCTCCCCCCTCTTTTTTCACCTTGTTGCCAAATGCGGAGTACATGTCCGATTGAGCTCAAATTTATAGCAGAGATAGAACATCGAAAAAGAAAATCGAAGTATTTTTGCATAGAATTTTCTGACGTGTTCTAAGGGTTTTCTAGAAAATTCTGATTTTCATCCAGTCACATTACGACCTCTCGAAAAAATAGTCCGATCGAGCTCAAATTTTTACCACAGATACTTTAGGCCCTATCTCAGGTTCGTTTTTTTTCTTTTCAAAAAATGTGCTTTCCTTCTCGAGATATCCCAAAAATGCTGAAAGTCACGCAAGAAAACCTGTAAAAAAATGAGTTTTTTTGCGTGACTGCCAGCAT